CGGGTACGGGAGCAGCCGTCCGTGTTCCACTCCCACATCGATGTTTCTCTTTCCTTCTTCTCCCTTCCTCTGCCACTGAAAATAAACATTTTAAAGTGTATACGTCTTTAAAAAACACTGTCTGAAAAAAGGCAGCAGGAACAAGCAGGTCTGGAATGACAGACATGAGGCTGGGCTGGGCAATCACAGGAGAACAGTCTGTTTTTTAAAAAAAAAAACACAATAGGGATCTTGTATAATTCCAAATCAAACTCCTCATGGTCCTTAAAATATCCAAAACATCGTTAGGACACACACGTGCTTTAGAGCGAGCGCCCGGCGCTCCCGGAGTGATGCTCCGTGGGGGACAAAGCCCGGGACGTGCCTGATGCGCGGCCCTGACTTGGCGATGGCGGAGGCAGGGCCTGTGCTGCCGTGAAACCCAGGTGATTCCAACAGGACGGTTCTCGACCCGCCGTCGGCCGGGAAACAGAAACCCTGGGCTGTGCCTGCAGCCTCCGGCCAGAGCCGGGCCCTCGGGGTGGCCAGGCGCCGGCGGCTTGTTCAGGAGCCCGGTGCTGCTCCTGGCGCTCCTCTCCACGCACAGCCCGTCAGGTGGCCCGGAGACCCTCCGCCCCGCCCTGCCCGTGGAGGGCACCTTCCGGAAGCGCCTGGTGGGCGCACAGCGCTGCCCGAGGACCTGCCGCCGGCCCAGCGGGCACTCCCAGGGCCTCTCAGCGGACTGGGTGGCGCTTCCTGCCGGTCCCCGTGGCAGATGCGCTGGTGCAGACCATGAAGCGGGGCCTCCTCAGCCACGGCTGCACCGCATGGTCCCTGCGTGGCGCTCTGCTCCCCGCACGTCCTCCTCGGCGCCCAGGACTGCGGGCGGGGACTGGCGGTGGAGTCACACAGCTTGATTCTCAGGACGCTGCCGCTTCCGCCCGCCTTGGGAGGTAAACCGGGACCCGGGACCGAAGGGCGGCCGGTGGACACCGCCCTGGGAAGGGCCCGCAGCTGTCTGCGGCTTCGGCGGCGGTGGACCCCCCCCTGTCCCGGGAGCTGGGGCTGCCTGCGGCTGCCAGGCTCTGGGAACAGCAGACCCTTCTGGAAGCGAGAGGGCGTGCAGCGGGGGGGGGGGGGGGACAGGGAAAGGCCGTCGGGCTTAGCCACCGCAGTGACACAGCTAGTGCTGCTGAACCTGAGCTTGAGATCACGCCCGAGCCGAGCACCCTCGCAGCCAGGCCCTTCAGAACGGCGGCAGGCCCCTCGCGCCCCCTCCCCCATGCTGGCCGCCCACAGCCTGCCTCTCCAGACAGCCCGGGGCCTGCCACAGCGCCCCCTCCTGGGCGCCCCCTCGCTCAGTCATAGCCATGGCCTCGCCGCCTCCAGGGCCTCACACCCTGCCCGGGCCTCCCGCATCTACCTGGCCCTCCCCACGCTGCCCCAAGCCGCCTTCCCAGGGAGGCCTCCCAACACCCCACTCCAAACAGAGCCGGTCCCCGCCTTCCCCCCTCACAGGCCTGGCTCCCGGGGTGCTGCCCGCCGTCCTCCCGAAGGCCAATCCCACGCCTCCGGACACCGAGCACAGCGCGGGCACGCCAGCCCTCAGGACGGGCCAGACCCTAACTCTTCTCCGCCAGGCCCGGCAGGGCTGGGACACAGAGAGCCGTGTGCCCGCACCCGCCAGCGGGCCGGAGGGCGGGTTAGGAGCCGCTGCCAGAGGCCCCGCTTCTCCCCTCCCGCCTGGGGGCCCGGGGCCACGCAGCCTCTCAGCTGATTCAGTCCTCCACAGGCCTAGCAGCTGGCCCAGGCCGGCGGCCCAGACACAGATGACTCTGCTCTCGCCCCGCCCCCACGTCCACTGCCAGGTGCGGCTGGTGTGCAGGCAGAAGGGGACACAGTCGCACACTGTGCCCTGGGGTGGCTGGGTCCCTGGAACACTTCACAGGCAGCTGTCGGGGCAGCAGGTTCCAGAGGTGGGCACGTCGAGCTGTGACAGCCAGTTCTGAGGGAGTGTGCTGGGGGGGGGGAGGGGCAGAAGGAGGGAGTAGCATGGGGGTGAGGAAGCGGGGACGGTAGGGGGGAGTGAGGGAGTGGGGGCAGGGGGGAGTGAGGGACGGGGGAAGAAGTGGGGGTGGGGTGAGGGAGGGTGCGGGGTGAGTAGCATGGGGGGTGAGGGAGGGCTAGAAGAAGGGGGGGGTGAGGGGAGGAAGGGAGCGGGTGGGGGAGCGGGTGGGGGAGGAGGGAAGGAGAGGGGGGAGGGAGCGGGGCGGGGTTTCCTTTGGCTGGACTCTTTAGGAAGAGGGAAACCTGAACATCCTTTTTGCCTTTGTCTCTGTGAGCATGCAGCACCGCCTTAGCACCCAAGGCCTCGCTGGAACCTCAAAAGAAGGTTTGAAAAGCCAGAGCGCCTCTTTAGGACGAGGATCTCAACGTCTGGGCTATGCTCACCGAGTTCTAGTCTTGCTGCAGGTTAACAGTAGTTTGCAGGCAGCTGTAACCATTTGACAGGAGCTCAACTTCAAAAACATAAAGTGAGCCAAATACAAAGAATCAATGTGTAAGTGACCAAAAGTGAATGGAAGCAGAGCAGGGCTCCAGACACATCTCCTCTCTCTTACTTCCTGGAAGCGAGAAAAAACACCTTGCAAGAATGGGCCACACACCGTGAAGCCTGCCGAGAGTTCGGTAACCCCTCCCCCAGAGCGCCAGGGCCGGCCACGCACCACCGCAGCCACCGCAGCGGAGGCCTGGCTTCCGCGGGCCAACAACAGCCTTGGAGTTCCGGCTCGGGCACTTCGTGATGCTGGTACAGTCTCTCCTGCCTGTGGTTGAAGCCTCAGTTTGCTCATCCATAATATGAAGTTGTTACCATTGGGACGAACTAGTTCATATTAATAACTAGAGACCCCGTGCAGTGTGGCTCCTTGGCCTGGCCTGCAGCTCTCTGACATTCCCCAAAGGGTTGTGGATCGCAGGCCAGGCTGGGGGACCCTGATGGGGCTGGCCTGACGGGGAAGGATGATGGGAGGGCTCCAGGGCATGTCCAGCCCAACTCGCCCAGTTCTGATCAGCAGGACCCCAGTAGCAAGCTAATCTACTGGTTGGAGCGTCCATCCCCGGTGGTCAGTGCACACCATAGCTACCAGTTGAATGGTCCAACAATCGAATGGTTGCTTGGGCTTTTATATCTACAATAAGGGGAAGATGCAAATTGACCATATCTTCCAGACACCCACCAGCCAATCAGGAGTGAGTATGCAAAGTAGCTCAACAAAGATGATGGATTAATTTGCATTTGCAGGTGCCAAGTGGCCTGGGGTGGGATGCTTGTGTTGTCACCATGGCGACGACAGGCATTCTGAATCCGCCCCAGCCCTCTGGGCAGCGTCGGGAAGGAAGGCAGGCGGCTCTGGGCCGCAGTGAAGGTGCTCCCGCAGCCAGGGGAAGGAAGGCCCATTCTTGCACGAATCTTCATGCATTGGGCCTCTACTACATAGACAGAAGGAGAGCAGAGACATGGACGCATGTGCAGCAAAGTCAGGGTGAGGCAGGGAAGTTGCTTGCCTGTCAGTCTAGCCTGGCTGGGAGGGGGGAGCCCATGGAGCTTAAGAAATCTTAGATTAAAATCCCCAGAAAAAGACACTTTCTCTCTCTTGCCACTTATGCTCCTATTTCTTTCTTGTTCCATGACCCACACTCACCTGCCAGGTAGCCTTAGAAGCTGCATGGGCCATGGCCCTCTGGGCCCCGCACGCCAAGGACTGCAGCTGGAACACGAGCTAAGAGGGCAGATCGGGGCTGGACTGGGCTTCAATGTGGAGGAACCTGGGCATGGCTTTCATCCTAGCTCGGCCGAAGACACGATGGGGCTTTTCCCATGGGCAGGCGGGCCTGAGGGGGAGGTCCTGTCCTGTCACCTCACCAATAGGCTTTCCTCCCCCCCTCATCCTCTGGGGCCCTGCAGTCAGCTCCGGTGGGCACATGGAGGCTCCCTGGCAAGAACAGGGTGCTGATGCCCCACATTCCAGGACATGCTAGGGCTTGGCTCAATGCCCAGCAATGCCCCAGGGGAGGGGAGGGCGTCTTGGAAATGGCCTGCCCCAGCTGCCAGTCCTCCCGATATGTCCACAGTTGGAGGCATGCAGTTCCAGGAGTCACACTAGGCAGGACCCTGTTCCAGTTCTGCCCCAATTCCCTGCCTGACCTCAGGCAGCCCCTCCCTTTCCTGGGTCTCTGAAGGCCCTTTTGGCTTGGACCTTGCCACAGGGCCCAGCTGGAAAGAAGGAAAAGTTATCAAAGCAAAGGGGATGGGAGGCAGGGGTTATGGTCCTTCATTTCACAATTCTATTCTTTTTAAAAATATATATTTTATTGAATTTTTACAGAGAGGAAGAGAAAGGGATAGAGAGTTAGAAACATCGATGAGAATCATCGATCAGCTGCCTCTTGCCCACCCCCACCCCGGGATGTGCCCGCAACCAAGGTACATGCCCTTGGCCGGAATCGAACCCCAGGACCTTCAGTCCGCAAGCCGACGCTCTATCCACTGAGCCAAACCGGTTTCGGCTCACAATTCTATCCTTTATCCTCCCGGGAGAAGCGGCCCAGTCTGCCCAGAGGACCTCCCAGCCCCCTCGGAGCAGCACAGGAAGGCGTAGCCCGCGGAGCAGGGTCACGGCGACCCGCTTCCAGGACCCGACGCAGCGCGGCCGAGCAGGTGCGCGTCCCCAGGGCCGAGGCCGCCGGCGCCGGCGCCGCTCCGGCTTCCGCCTTCCCGGGGGCTCGCCGCGCGCGGAGGGGCTGTCCGCGGGGACGCGCCTGCCCACAGCCCGCCCCTCCCGCCGGGTCGGCCACGCCCCCGCGGCTCGAGCCGCAGCCCCGCGGCGTCCGGAGGAGCCCGAGAACCTCCGCCCCCAGGCCGCCCCGCGGCGCTCGGACACCGCCGGGCCGGGGCCGCCGCGGGGAGGGGCGCCCGGTCCGCCCCCGCAGACAAAGGGCGGCGGCGGGGCCCGCGTTACCGTTGAGGCGGACGGTGAACTGGCGGCGCCGGCGGTCGTGCTCTACGCGGATGGGGCAGCCTGGCTCCTGCGCGCCCGGCGCGGCGGCCGGCGAGTGCGCCATCCGGCGGGCGAGGCCGCGGCCCGGGCGGCGCGGTCCGAGGGCGCGGGGGGCGCGGCGGCGGCGACGGCGCGGGAGGCCGGATCCACCGGAGTCCGCGGCGGCGGCGCCGACACTGACACTCGGACGCGGCCGACAAAAGGGGGCGGGGCCGGGGTCACGTGCCGCGCGCGGCCAGTGGGAGCCGGCCGGTTTGTTTTGATACATTCCGTCCGCTCTTAAAGGGCCAGGCCCGCCCCGCGCGCCGCCCGCGCTCCGAACCCCGCGCCGCGTCCGCCCGAGGCCACCTTTCCCTCTGGCGTTTGATTCCCTGGCGTCTTTGGGGCCCACCCGGACCCCTCCTCCAGGAGAGATGACGATCACGATCTGCAGGAAGCTCCGGGTTCCCGCAGCACCGTCTCCTCAGCATCGCTTAGCAGATGCGTGGCCTGCGCTTAGCAGAACCTGGGAGCTCAGCTGAGAAATGAGTGCGCGGCGAGGACGAGGACGCGGGCCCTGGGCGTGCGAGGCCTGGGGCGGGCGCCCGCGGAGCTGGGCGGGTCGTGCTGGCCCCTCCATGTGGCCGGCCCCACCCCGGTGGCCGGCTGCAGGACTGAGATACGAGCGGGAGGCCACCTCCCTCCAAAGAGGCGGCCCGCAGAGAGGCCTTGGAGATCCGGGAGTGGGGCCGGAGCTGGGAAAGTCCCAGCCAGCCCAGGGACATGCTTGGAGAGGACAAGACTCTCGGGGCCAACTTGGCCAGGTCCCCGCTGCCCTGGACCGGCTCCCACCCGGGGCTGCAGCACCGATGGAACTCCAGGTTGCTTTTTACTAGTTTGCTAATTAAAGTGTAAACTTGCTGTTCTCTCCCAGGTGACCGCCTCCCCCCTCCCCCCAGTCAAGATGAACAATACCAGGGTTTCCATTGCCCCCATCCGTGTCCCACCCCTGGAAGTCGCTGTTACCTTGACTTCCGGTGTGATGCACTAATTATTTATTTATTTATTTATTTATTTATTTATTTATTTATTTATTTTATTGATTTTTTACAGAGAGAAAGGGAGAGAGATAGAGAGCCAGAAACGTAGATGAGAGAGAAACATCGACCAGCCGCCTCCTGCACACCCCCCACCGGGGATGTGCTCGCAGCCAACGTACATGCCCTTGGCCGTAATGGAACCCTGGACCTTTCAGTCCACAGACTGACACTCTACCACTGAGCCAAACCGGTTTCGGCGTGATGCACTAATTTGCTTTTCCCAGAACTTCGCATCAATGAACTCACATAGTGTATACTGTTTAGTGTACAGTTTCTTTTATTCATCTTATTTGTGGGATTCATCTATGTTGATGAGGGTACCTTTTTATCGCTGAGTAGTATCCCATTGTCGGCATTTACCACAATTTGTCCACCCTTGATGGGCATTTGGGTTGTTTTGTTTGTTTTTTGGTTAATGCTCACCTGAGGATATTTTTCCCATTGATTTTTAGAGAAAGTGGAAGGGAGGGGGAGAGACAGAGAGAGAAGCATCGATGTGAGAGAGAAACATGGATTGGTTGCCTCCCGCACGCACTCCCACTGAGCCAGGGATGAACCTGCAAATGCCCTTGACAGTGAATTGAACCTGTTACCTTTTTTTGTCTGGGCTGATGTTCTAACCACTGAACCTACAGGTCAGGGCTCTTTAATTATATTTTTAATTCAATTTTTGGCTAGGTAATATAGTCACATTTTTCAAAAACAAAAATAGAGACAGTCATGGTCAGTGTGGTTCAATTGGTGGGAGCACTGAACAGTGGTGGGTTCAGTTCCGACCAGGACACATGCCCAGGTTGGGGTTTGAACCCTAGTTGGCATGTGTTGTATGGCAACCAATTGATGTTTTTCTCTCTCCTGCTCTCTGTAAACTAAAAACACACACAAACATACAAGAAACACCCCATAAAAGTAAAATAAGCATAAATAAGTGTATATATATATATATATATATAAATATATATATAGTATAAATGTATATGTATGTGTGTATATTTGCAACTAGGAACAATCTTTCTCCACACAGAGAGGAAGATTGTTTCTTAAGAATTTTTCTAGCCGAAACCGGTTTGGGTCAGTGGTAGATCGTCGGCCTGCGGACTGAAAGGTCCCAGGTTCGATTCCCGTCAAGGGCATGTACATTGGTTGCGGGCACATCCCCGGTAGGGGGTGTGCAAGAGACAACTGGTCAATGTTTCTCTCTCATCGACGTTTCTAGCTCTCTATCTCTCTCCCTTCCTCTCTGTAAAAAATCAATAAAATATATATTTTTTAAAAATTTAAAAAAAAGAAAAAAAAAGAATTTTTCTATTTTTCCACATATAAACCCACGACGTCATAGCAGAGGACTAGACTTAACCATTCCCTGTGACACAGTCCTTTATTTTATTTTATTTAAAATATATTTTATTTTTTAAAAAAATATATTTTATTGACTTTTTACAGAGAGGAAGAGAGAGGGATAGAGAGTTAGAAACATTGATGAGAGAGAAACATTGATCAGCTGCCTCTTGCACACCCCCTACTGGGGATGTGCTCGCAACCAAAGTACATGCCCTTGACCAGAATCAAACCCGGGACCTTTCAGTCAGCAGGTCAAAGCTCTATCCACTGAGCCAAACCGGTTTCTGCAACATGGTCCTTTATTGATGGCTACTTGGGTCATTTCTTCTTAAAAACTTTTTTACATTTTCTTTTTTGTGTGTATTCTTTTGGGTCATTTCTAAATATAGCATCTTTGTCTCAGCTGCCGACTCTTGCATCTTAAGGATGCAATAATTATCTAATCCATTGGTTCCCTGTTGTTGAGCATTTTTTCACCTCACGGGATTCTGTTCATGCATGTCTGATCGCCCCCTGTCTGCCTCTCTTCTGAGGAAGCTTACACCAGCAGCCACACCGCTGCGTGCCCCCTGCGGGCCAGGTGCTGCGCAGAGTGCTCGGGTGCGGCCTGGCCAGTCCTCAGGTCCTGAGAGGCAGGGGCTGGCCGGGAGGCTGCGAACTGTCAGCGCTCTCCCTGGGGTGGGAGTGGAGCTGGGACTGCACTGGTGAGGCTAAGCCTCGAGTCTGACCCGCCAGGAGCCCCAGAGCGGGAGAAGCCGTCCTCCCCAGGAGACCTGGGGCTTCCGGAGAGCGGAGTGGAGGGAGGTTGAGGCTGCGTGGCTGAGAGAGGCGGGGGAGGTGTCAGACAAAAGAGGGCCCGTGAGGGGCAGCATGCAGATCCACTGCCCGCCAGAGGGGCGGCTGCCGCTCACGCAGCTGACTGCTCTGAGCTGGAGACCTCAGGGCTCTGGGTTTTCGATGGGAGCTGGAGATAAAGACTAGAGTGAGCTCTCCTGATGTGCACGTGATGGCAACGGATGGAAAAGCACAATGACGTGTGTCTGCCACCGGCTCTGAACATCAGGAGACAGAGACAGTGCGATCGGCCGGTGGGTCCAGTCACGTACGCATGCATTTTTCTGGAGGTGTAATGTTTTTTCAAAGTAAAAAATGGAGGGAGAAGGAGACAAAACCAGGTGGAGTATGTGACTCGTGGTTAGATACTGGCTCAAAACAATGGGGCCGTGGAAGGCACTCGGGCTGCTGGGCACTTGGACGCGGGCCAGGTGTTCGGGTCTGGGATGCAGCTGCCCCTCGCTGGTGCAGCCGCTCCGTGCTCAGGCGGTGTCTGTTCTCAGGTGCTACATGGCAAGGATTAGGAGCGGAAGATGATGGTGGCCGTGAGTCCCTTCAACAGCTCCGTCTGCCTGCGAGCGAGGAGCAGAGGAGGAGCCAGAGCCAAGTGTGAGCAGTGGCCATCCCAGCCTCCAACTATGTGCTTGAAATTCCTCACAATAAAAATTGGGGGACCCTGGTCGGTTTGGCTCAGTGGATAGAGCGTCGGCCTGAAGACCAAAGGGTCCCGGGTTCGATTCTGGTCAAGGGCATGTACCTTGGTTACAGCAAGAGGCAACCAATCCATGCGTTTCTCTCACTTTGATGTTTCTCTCTGTCTTTCCCTCTCTCTTCCACTCTCTAAAAATCAATGGAAAATTATCCTCGAGTGAGAATTAACAACAACAACAACAACAAAGATATTGGGGGAAAGGGTCCGGAGGAAGCAACCTTGGGACTAAAACAAAATGTCTGTGGGGCTGGAATGGCCCCCAGTTTGCCAGCTGCCATTTGGTTTAGCTCGCCCCCTGGAAGCTAGGAAAGCTGAGGCCCAAGGAAAGGAGGGCTGGCCCTCCCTACGGGATACCTCCGCAGCCATTTCCCCCGCCCGCAGGAGGCTGCAGGAGGCGTGTCTGGCTGGTGGGATAGGCCCCAGGGCTCCGCGCTCTCCTCCTGCAGCTCACGTTACAGAGGTGGACCTGAGGCCAGAGGAGGAGTGGGTGGACTGACATTTGGGAGAGGCCTGGTCCTCGGGGCCTCCTGTGGAGCCATGGCCTGCGTGGCCTCGGGTTGGAGGGCTGACACGCAAATCAATACACAAGACAAGAAATACAAATTGGGAAAACATGGGAGAAGCCAGTGGTGATCTTGGTACAAGGGACCACGTTTTACGAATCTCCATTCCCACCACAGGCTTGGTTTACTAGGATACAATGGCCTCTCAGGAATGCAGACAGACAGTCAAAGGCGATGTTTGGTAAACAGTAAGATTACCAGGGTGGGGGCTGCTTTAGGCCATTGAGTCAGCAGGCAGCAGGCAGTCATAAAATGCAGATATTCACGAGTGACCCTCAGAGAGCCCTGTCAGCCTGGACAGACGTTTACACTAATTACTGTTGATCTTGGTTCTCACAGCCTCCCCTGCCCTGTCTCCTGAACAAGAGCTCGGCTCTGGAGTCCGAGGCTCAGTGCTCTGTGTGAACTGGGGACTCCCTGCCCCTCGGGGCCACAGCCTGGCAGTTAGTGAGGTGACATGAGAAGCACAGGCAGTGCCCTCACATGCCTCTGCCCTGCAGTCCCCGAAATCTCAGCCTCTCTGGCCACTGTGCCA